GCAAATGCATGTGGAAATGGAGAAAACCCAATTTCTTCATCTTGCCACAAGAGTGTAGTAAAAGAAAAATTAAAATTATACTTACACGGTTTCTCACAATGTGGAGAACTACTGGAGATGTAATAATGTTAAGCTTATAATTGGATCTCAAATGGTATATGAAATATGATCACAGTGCTTCAAGAAATTTAAACCAGTACCTGAAAATATGTTTATATATATGACAAAAACCTACCGAATTTTTACAGTTATCTTCTGATCAATATGAGTTATTTTTCTCTGCTTTTCTGTAATTTCTTTCTCATTCTACAATGAATATGCATGTTTTATCTGTTGGTACCAAACTGATTTTGACTTATGGATACCCTGAATGTTACAGTAGAAAACTACTCCATGGGGTTATTTTGGAGGAAATATTGACATAAACCACTTGCCAGGCCTTTTTTCTGTGGCACTGCTAGGTGGGTTTGAACTATCAACCTTTGGGTTTAGACAAGTGTATGCCATCTATGCAAACCCAATGGCCTCATTATGCAAGTAGCTAACATCGATTTCTATGGGAAAATGTGTGGTAAGAGCACAGCAAGCCAAAGTCTAGGTTGTTTTTTTTCCTCCAAGGTAGCTTAGACAAGGGCATCTTTCCACGTGCCTCTGATGTGCCTGAAAACCCCTATCCCACAATATGACTCCCTGGGCAGTGCCCATGGTTAACAGGCTTGGCTGCTCAATGAAAGACTAGAAATTCAAGTCCACTCGGAGCCCTCTTGGAAGGAAGACCTTGGAATCTGCTTCCCACAAACCCCAGCCCTTGGAAACCCTCATGAGCCCAGTCCTACCCAGAGTCCTGAGGGACTCGGTGGTATCTTGTCTCTGGTTTTTCCCTGCCATCCAGGAACTAGAGAAACCAGCATAGCTTCCTTCAGTCTGGGGAGCTCAATGAACAAATAGTGGGAGCCCTGGTGGCATAGCAGTTGGACAGCGATTCGCAGGCATCCTTGGGAGAAAGACTGGGATTTCTAATTCATTAACCAGTTACTGTCTCAGACACCCACAGGGGGCGTTGCTATGAATCAGCATTGACTATGGCGGAGAGTGAGAGCAGGTTCGAGGCACCATGGCCTATGTAAGTTTTCCTTCACCTCAGCTTCTTCCTCTAGTAAGTGCAGTTGGCTCCTCAGACCCTCCCACCGTGTCCTAGACCAGCAGCTCTCAGTCAAATGAGAATAACCGAAAGCGCAAGTGTGTGACAAGGCATATTGTTGGGTGCCTCCTGCAGGGTTTCTGACCCAGTTGGTCTGCGATGGGGCTCAATAGTCTACATTTCTAACAGGTCCTAGAAGACGCTAACGCTGCAGGCCCAGGCACAAGGAACGCTGCTCTCTGGTGCACCAGCATCAGAAGAGAAGGTCGGCACTGTGCGTGGTAGTCAGTTCATGTGGCCCTTCTAGCCATACTATCTTACATAGTCGATTAGAATTCTGAACATTACAGGCCTGTGGCGATAGTCCCATTTTGGAGGGCATTGGCCACTGTACCAACGGGCAGGAATAAGCAAACAAAAAACCAAAATCACTACCATCCGGTCAATTCTGATTCACAGCGACCCTATAGGATAGGGTAGAACTGCCTCTGGGAGTTCCCGAGGCTGTAACTCTTTGAGCCTCATCTTTCTCCTGAGAAGTGGCTGGTGGTTTTGAACTGTTTACAGTACGGTTATTAGCCCAACTCATAACAACTACACTACCAGGGCTCCTCAGCAGCAGGAATAGGGTGGGATTGAGAGGTGTCCTTGTAGAGGGTGTGAACCAATGTAGACTCTTTGGTGTAGACCCCACCTCAGTAAGAGGTGCAAACCAAGCCATGTCCTTTGTTTCCCTGGAGACATCTAATGGGTGTGACTTGAGATGCCACCCATTGTGGAGTGTGTGTATGGTTCCAACGTTAGCTCCCCTAGAGCCATATGCTTATCTCCTAACTGCACTTTGATAGAAGCAAGAAGTCACTTGCTGTGACCTTGGGCATTTGGGGTTCTGGCTCTGGGCCCTGCATATGGTTCGCTGCTGCCTGACCTTTGGATCGGGGCCTTAAAAACCATGTGAGACATTTCTTCAATGTACTGTGAGCTTCTGGGGGACATCGCAGCAAATCATAGAACCGAGGGACATGAGGGTATATACTCAAAGGAGAAGTGTGG